CAATACCATCAAACATCTGGATTCGTATTATGCCTATCCCAACCACCTTACAGGTTACATTGTTTCCCATTAGGACCTTACCACCATCGATTGACCGATAGGTGGCAAACTAGTCCTATTTGGGACACATATGATTGGAACAACCTAAATCAAGAATCCACTCACCATATGACCTACTGGTTGAACACGTGAGTACATCAGCATCAACAGAATAACCGCTTTAACAAATACAAACGGTTCGTGAGAGACTTTGTCATGCAAAGGCTCTCCAACTTTAACCACAAACCTGTAGTCGTAGTTTCGTCAGTAATTTCCCACAACACTTCATTGCTAAGGCTCAATATGATAGTATTGTAAGCCTTTGCCTAGATGTCTTTCTTCTCATCGTCAAACATTGTTGCGAGAAAGGCATCTCTCCATCCTTTTTCTCTATGGCATTCAACAATCCATATTGAACCAACAAAGCACGCATCTTTAAGTGCCACATATTGAAATCATTTGTTCTATCGAATTTTTCTCCCTCAAGCTTTGCGGCCATCGCAAAATCTCAAATCAAAATTTTAACAAAATTGGGACATTAACGTCAATGAATAGTACCAAATGAATAGTAGTCGGGCACACCAATAGTGATCAGCCCTACAAACAGTATCTGGGTCCAATAACAATGCTTTGATACCAATTTGTTGTGACAAACCCACGATTTGATTACCAAGATAGACAATAAAGTGACAAAAAATAAATAAGGCATACACAAATGGACACAAGAGATTTACGTGATTCGGCTATTACCTAAGTTCACGGCAAACAACGATTGGATGTTTTCACTAGAGTAAAACAACCGTACAAGAACAGTTGTATCTTTCCTCACAAGTACTCACTCCTACTAGAGAGAATGCACTCTGACCTCACTGACACGGACACGAACACGAACACGGACAAGATATATTTCTCAAAAAAGTAGGACACGAACACATTGGGACACACTACAAAAAATTATATTTTATATATAACATTAATATAATTTATTGCAAATATAGTGATAATGATATACAATTTATTAAAAATTTAGTATTTTATAATAAGTAGATCTTATGTCTAATCATCTATGTGACAATTCCTTTTTTTTTTTTTTTTTTGGAGCTGAAATGACATTGTTTTATCCTAAGGCTTATTTTTAAATCACTAACCAGTAAAACAACGTTGTTTTACTGGTTGTGATATAAAAAAATAAAATAAAATATGTTGTTAATGTTATTCAATTGAGTTCAAAATTCCTGATTAATATTAAAATTGTTCAAGCAGTTGATAGAACTTTGAATTAGAGGTTTTTGCATTTTGATATTATTGAACAATATTAAAAACTTGAATAGTTTGTAGAATATTAATGAAATACTATATTACTATGAGTCTATGTTTTTTTTACAAAGATATATATATATTTTTTATTAATAATTTTATAAAAATTAAATTGCACGTATCTTACGATACACTATTTTTAAAAAACGATACATCTTCCAATACTCGATTTGTCAACTATGATTTTTAGACTAAAGCATTCTCTTAATAGTCAATAATCATCAATTTTTTTTGTAGACAATGTATACTTAATATATAATTTAAATAATTGCTCTCATTTTCTTAATTATTCTTTTTTAAAATTTTCATCCATCTTTTATTTTTATTATTATATTTGGAATACAACTTTAATATGTCTAGTGTTGGTAATTATATGTCCTCAAATTTTTAAACTTTGTTAATACATTTCAACACATGTTTATTGTTTAGTAGTGAAAAAGTTCGAAAGAAGTGTCAGACACGTCACCAAAGAAGTGTCAGACACGTCACCAAAGAAGTGTCGGACACGTGTCCAAAATTAAAATTTTATCATTTAATTATAGATACGAATAAAAAAGTATTGGATACATGGCCGAAGAGTGTCGGTGTCTGACACGGTACGTCACCTTCTCAAGAGTGTCCGTGCTTTATAGCCACTGATATCACTTGGATATTTCTCAATTCTCAGATGCCTCACAACTCTCTACACTCTAATATTCAAAAGAGAGCTTCTTATTTTCGATGTTTTTACCCCTCTGCCAGAACCCCCCCTTTTATAGGAATTCAGGAGACAAAACGTCCAAGCTATTAGATACTCAATCAGATCTCCGCGTGATTGAGCCACCAGACAAGCCGCTTGAAAATTCACGAGGAGAGAATTCATTCAAAGCCTTCCTTGACTTTTGTGGCCTTTGCATTTAATTAAGACCACAAAAGGCCAAGGCCTTCTAGCCACTTTTCCAACACCCCCACCTAAAAAAAAAAATTCTCCTTTAGCAGCCCAAGCCCATTGAGCGCCATAGCCTCAGCCCCAAACCCAAACTCTATCCCAACATCACAAATCTAACCACACACTTATGCCCTCTTCCACCAGCAACCCAAACCACCTTCACTACCCTATCCACTTCATTCATTCTCCCCATCTACTTTTATCTCTCTCTCTTTAAGTGTATACATGTTAAGTGCTTATATATAGAGAATTTTTCATCCAACACTCTATCTTTGTCTTCCCCCTCCCAAAAAAAAATACATATATTGAAATGACATTATTTGGTAAACCAATTAAGACGTGATGATGTAGGACAAAAAGGACTAGAAATTAGAGAATAGAAAGAGAAAATGAAAGAAGAGAAGGTGAAAGGAATTTACCTCATCCTCACAAGGATCGGTCAAGAAACACACAATTCTCCACAAAGAAATAATTTTTTTATTATATCACACTCTAATAAAAATAGGTGGGATTACACCATTATTTATAAGCCAAGTTCCCTACCAAAATAAAAATTATTTTTCCACTAAAATTCTAAAAGAGTTTCATAACCAAAACTCTTAAACTTCTATCCTACTAAAACTCTATAATAATTCTTTAATCAAATTCTAATTAATATTGCTAGTCAAACAAATATTCTCAAACTAATATAAAAATAGTAAAACAAATAATAAAATTTAATTCTTCAATTTAACCTCATTCAATCCCTTTTCGATCTCTATCACATAACAATTGTCATAAGATGTTAGGAGCATTAACTACCCTTGGGACATAGTGAGGAACGACGCGCTGACCTAAGTGCAAACATTGAATTCCCTCGAGATTCTAAGACCAAGGCATGGATATTGGAAACATCAAAAGTTCATCCTATTAGACAACACATATGATCCACCGACATTAACATCTACACCATGATTGTTGAACCGAACAAAGACTCGATGAATTAAGCGGGCAACCTAGATACTTCTTCAACGATCTAACACTAACGTTGGGTGGGTCCACTCGGCCTCAGCTCCACATATGACCCACTGATATCAGTCAATCAGGTGAGGGGACATGTGACAAGTTTCCGCAACCACCTTTATTTATGCAAGCAGCTAAATCAAGTTCCAAGGAAAGCTACATGCAAGATTGGACTTGCTGCAAGTGAAACCAATGAAAACATCCCACAAATTGAACCACTATTATGGGACGGGCTGAGCAATCCAAATGGCAGAGCACAGATGCCGACTCCCTTAAAGTGGTCTTGTCAAGCACAACTACACCTCTCCACAGACTAATAGGAAGTGTCTTTGCTCTGACACAGTCTGCCATGGGTCAGAGGAAGGATATTCCCTAAATGGATAGCCAATGTTCAAGTGGCAGACACCATCTTTGGAAGCCAATGAGAGGGTTTCCCTCTCTAAAGGCTGACAGCTTTCAAAAAACATCCAATCAGAACTTTTGTAAGCCCCCATTTAATTATTGTAATATGTATTAGATTATATATGACTTAGGAATAGGTAATATGAGTGTGTTATTTCGATTGATCAAACAGACAGGAGGATTTGGAGATGATCCGAGTCTAGGTTGTTTACTGTTAAGTCTGCTTGGAAGTGGTGAGGTTTCATGGTGAACAGAATGATATAGTGGCTTCTATTTGGAAGCAGAACATTTCACCAAGCGCAAAGCTGATAGGTTGGAAGATTTTTTGGACTGCTATTTCTGTGGATGTATGTGTGCAGAGTGTGGGGGTTCCTTTGGCCAGTAGGTGTGATCTTTGTCATGAGGGGGAGGAGTCCTTGTCTCATCTCTTTATAGACTGTATTTGCTCAGTCTGCATGGAAAAGAGTTGCTGCAATGGTTGGTTTTCAGGTGTTTGCTAATAAGGGTCCTTTGATTAGACTGAGAAGGTTGTATAGAGTCTATAAAGGTTTTTCTTTGAGTAGTGGGATTGCAAGGGGTTTTTCTTTAATTGTTTTCTGGAATATATGGAAAGAGAGGTGTAGGAGAGATACTTCTTTTTAGTTTAAATTTTTAGATTTGGTTATGAGACAATATTATGAATATTTCTTATTTGGTTAGTTTCAAGATACTATTCTGATTTTGTGATGTAAGTTTGAGAAGTAATTTAGGTTTTATTGAAATTGCTTAGTGATTTCTTGAATGAATGGATGGTTTCATTATTTAATGATTACTTTAGTATGCTCTCATGGGTTGGATGANAAAAAAAAAAAAAAAAAAAAAAAAAAAGTGGCAGAATGTAAATTGACTTGAACCCGAAGAGGTTCTCTATAATATTTAGATCACTGGGGGTGGAGTATGATATAAATAAGCCTCAGATAATTTCTGTGATCTCTCCTTTTTCATGCTATTTAGACAAAAAACATAAATTACGGTTTGCTAATGCTTTCTTTAAATAGAATTTTTGTACATTCCAAATATATTTTGAAAGTAGCATTTCTCTCTCTCTCTTTTTTTTTCTTTTTTTTTCTTTTCCTTGTGGATCGTACTCACTTCTGCTAACTTTAATTACAATATATACATATATACATATATATATATATGCATGCTATTCACATACTAAAATATATCTACATCACTTTTGCAAAACAGTAATTGACTATGATTTTTTTTTCCCAAAAATTATCTTCAGCTTTAGAAGCGTTTAATTAAAAAATATGTTTTCAAGATGCTTTCAAACGGTAATGGTACTTCTGCCACGAACCTTAGCTAATGACCATATGCTGATGTGGGAACGATATTCTTGTGTTGTCATGCCTCTATTTCCAACCTCCAACATGTCAGGATCTGACACCAAATTATGAGATAAATACTTTAACGTCAAAAATATAAAGCTGGTGGTTGATAAATGGTCTAAACTACTTATATTTATTAAAGAAGATATCACTAAATAAAAGAAACTGATTCATATTCATCATCCAAGGAGTAGAATTGTTGTCTATGGTTCATTTCATTGACAACTAATGACACACATGAAAATGATAGATTAATAGGTATGTAAGGGAGAAAACATTCAGTCAACTGACTTTTACATCTTTGTGCAAAAAAGAAAATATATGTGTATCAATTTTCGAAGTCATGACAATATTTATTAATGACCCAAAAACAAGAATTTTTATTACCATTCCATCCACCCGGAGCAGCGTAAGATGCCCATTGGTCATTTTGATCTGCCCGGGAAGTCATACTAGCAAGAGGAAAACAACTAACATTAGACAATTACAAAAGATAAAAAGTGTACTAAAATAATATTATCCAAAATATATAATCAGAATTAAATACTACTGTAGAAAATCTATAAACACCAAGTATACAGTTATATGTAAACTATTAATGTAAAACAGAATGTATTAATAAACTTACAGAATGTACTTACTTAAATGCAGAACAACAATTAATAAGAAATATAACAAGAATCAAAAAATAATTTGATCCTTGTAGAATCACGGTTTCATTAAGGCATATTTGTTCTCTCTCGGTGCTCTAGGTTGATAAATAACTGTCTCTCAAGATTGAACAAATTTCACATTTACAGAAGTAACACTTCAATTTCCAAAGACCAATGAACACAACTTTGTATTTTATACTTGAACCGTTCAGAAATACAATGCAGACAGAGAGAGAACAGATGCAACAGTATGCAGAAATTTACTGTCTGTTTTCATATCTTGAAATGGCTTGAACACAGTCGATTTATAGACCTTTAGTATCTATTCGAATTGACCGAAGAGACATGAGATACCACTATTCGTTGAACAGACACATTGTTAAGGCGCCTCTATTAAACAAACAATATGGAACGGCACCTCGAGGGTGAACAGACACCTCTCAAAAAATCGGAGCCAAATTCAAATAATTAACAAATTGAAATGTGAATTTTAGCTAGAAGACTAAGTTTGATCCGTGTTCAGATTCGTTTGACTCACAACTCGTACCACATCAAATAAATTTTCAACAAAAAGATAGGATACCCAAAGCCCTCTTGGGTTGTGGCGCGTGTGGTAACCAATGTTGTATAGTTACTCGCTCCGCTCACAAAAGTGTGGTATCCCTTGGGGGTAACCCATGAAGCGAACTAGGAGTATATTAACTTAACTAATTTTTTGTTTCTTTACAATGTAGGACAAGCTTTATATATTACACATCATAAAACTTAGTTCCTTCCATCTATTTAAGTGAATCACTTTGAGATATAATTTCTCATTCAATACTAATGGTTTTTGAACAAACAAATATACCGCCTTAATCTCCTCGCAAAGGAGAACATGTTTAAACTTAATCCCACCAATTTTGAGGTGTGGGTCCCACTCTTATTTAAGCCCAAATTTGCTCAAAAATAACTTGTCAACAGCCATTTTTCCAACAAATAACAGGAAACAATTAAAAGTACAAGAATTATGAATATGGAAACCAAGTAACTCAAATCTCATCAGGCTATTTCATCCTAGTCGATTACTTGTCATGCTAGTCTAGTACCTCTTGAGGGTTAATTTGCTAGAAATGTCTACAATTCCATTCTTCATAGTTTCCCTTACACAAGGGTTATTTTTTCTTTTATGTTAAAGCAGGATGGGAAAGGGGAAACAACCAAATTTGACCAACAGAATCACACAGCTTTCCCATACAAGGCTTAGATCCTAAAATTTAATTAAAAAATTAGTTGAAAATATGCAGTTGATTGCAAGATGGAGGTATACACATATGCTCGACAGACAAACAAACACATAAACATATGGTGAGATATTGGCATATAAGCCATGGACACATATGGTAGAATTATGTTAAGAATTTCAATTTTCTTCTATGTAAAATTATTACCTTTCAGAACTGGTAACGCATAAGCTTCAAGATATGTATACACAAACACACACATCAAATGCTGTCCATATTGTTTAGTTATAGCAATGCTATAAATATATCATAGTCTAGTACTAGAATTTTATTTTTTTTTTGGTCAACCGTAAAAGGTTGAATTTGGGAGAAAATATGGAAATCATCGACACAAGAGGGGTCAACCACCCTTTAGAAACATTTCATCCCTCTTTGAGCCTCATTCTAAGAAATCTGAGTTGAGAGTACTAGAATATTTATAAAAAAAATTGGTACTCGCCTTACCTATCCCAATTGTCACCAATATCTCCGGTTGTTCTCCAGCTATTTCCAACAGATTGTGCCCAAGTTGCAGGATCTTCTTGTCCCCTGATTAGGAAAAAGGTGTGAACATTTAACTATTTCTGATTGGTATTAGCGATGCATAAAGTCGTTGTCGTGGAAACCATTTAGATAGAAGTCATTGTTCAAAACCGCTAACATTTTGAGATGGGTTTTCACAATAAATACTTCCTTGAATTTACATCTTTAAATCAAATGAGTGATTAATGAGCAATAATGGATATCATTTCTCAACATTTCATATTATGCGGCTGGTAAGTTGTCACACCTTTATATGAAGAAGAAAATAGAGTTGAACATATTAATGCACTAATATGCTCTTTTTAAAGTTTGGATAAGAAAATAATATGGATCAGTTATGGCAGTTTATGGCCTTTATTAGTAGACTTCAAACTAATAGGGTGAGATAGGAATTTTATACAAACAATAAAATGAGGCATCTTTATATATATGTTAGGAAAATTTTTAACTCACCATTCACATAGAGAGAAAAAGATGGACCTTCCGGAGTTTAGCAAAGCTTTGCTCATTATAGGATACCTATTTCATGCAAAAATAAATAAAAAATATATAGTTGGATAACCTTGATGGAAGACATATTCCACATTAAGAAGGATTTAAGCATGACCATAATGATGCAGCAAATACCTTTCCTTTGGGTCTATGTTGTTGTTGTTGCAATTGTCATACTTCAAGTAATCAATTCCCTGGTCAGAAATATTGATATCGAAAATCACCAAATAAAACGTGATACATTAACAATGAAGACTTTGGTTTTGGTCAGTCAAGATGAATTGAAAATAAAATTCATCCAAGTTTGCAATTGACCAATTCTCTAAAATGAGTTTAACATACCCATGAAGCAAAAGTCTTGGCATCCTGTTCTTCATAGCCTAGTGATCCAGGCATAGTTTTGCTGCATGTTTGAGTTCTGAGAAAGGAAAAAGGGTAGAAATGCTGTTAATATTAAGAAGCACAGAGAAACTGAATGTGTGCAGAGTGAAATCTTGTCTACCTATGTGCAAACTATTATAGTAAGTAAGATTGCTATATCTTTTATAAGGTAAATTATACTTTGGCCCTTTCAAGTATAGTACACATGCCACATTACCCTCAACTATCATGTTGCTTACATTACACCTTTAGCTATGGTTATTAATTTTGCAATGACCAAATATTGTTTCAATTTTCCCTTCGACCTACTTCATTTTGTTTTACTTTGCCCCAATACAGGAACGCCTTCTGGTCAAATGATAAAGCATATTTGCTTTTGGGGCATTGTGAAACTAATTCAAGTATTTGAGGGGCAATGTAAAAATTTCAATAATTTGGGGACAATGTGAGATTGAGGCCATAGTTGAGGGGGTCAAAGGGTAATTCACCCTATTTTATATAAGAGGTTTTCCACATGCTACAATTATGTAACTATAACTATTTAACTCCAACAAAAATGCTACCCTGCATCTGAGTAAATTCCAAGCTTCAATCCTTTGCCATGGACATAATCTGCTAGTGCTTTAATTCCAGATGGAAATGTTGAAGCTTTAGGAACCAAATTCCCCTGTGACATTTAAATGGAAGCAATTTTCCATCACAACTAAATGGCAATGTAAATGAATTCAAATACAATAGCTTTTGAATAAAAAGTCAAACCGCTAAATTTTACAATTTAACTTGGAAGCAGACATACGGGGGGTAAGAGTGTGCAAAAGTAAAACGGAAACAAGAAGAAAAAGGGTGGATAGGAGGAGAAAAGGTAATACAACTTTCAGCCAAAATAAACTTGGTATCAAATCTATTTATGTTTTCTTGCTTATTTAATCATAAAACCAAAAAGAAAAACTGTAACATCAGGTAAAATTTGATCTGATATGGATGATTAGACTCCGTGTAATTTGATCTGAAATATACTTGATTCAATTCGGTGTAGTTCGAAGATGGGTGATTGAATCCAAAGTATACAAATTGATGAACCGGATATGACAAATTGAGTCAGAAAAGGTAGTTCAAATTCAGAGTAATTCGAGAATGTGGAGTTGAAGAAGTGAAGTGGCTAAATTCGGCGTGAATGATTTTATTTGTATCAGACATATTTATCTTTAATAAAAAAATATAAAAACAAAGTGGTTCATTAAAATAAAAGTGGTTTGAAAACAGTGTTTGGATGGTCAATTTTGATGTTGCAGAAGTTTCAGATTTCAGCCATGGAAGTCGCGACTTTGGAGCTCAAATGCTTGAGTTCTAAGCAAATGAATTGAAGCAGAACTAAACATCAATAGATAGAGGATTGAAAGACAAAGATTCTAGCTTTTGAATCACTCAAAACGGTTTAGAAACAAAGGAGAAAAAAATAAAGTGAAGAGGGTACCTCCGGTCGAAAATGAGATGGCTACCGGAAGAAGATGATGAATAGTGTTGTTGACCCCTAATCACTCTGACGATGTGTGTAGACACGGTAGATACCCCTTCGGCCATGTTTGGTTTATGGGTCTGAATGGGATTTAAAATGTGGATTTTGTAAAAATGGTCCATTACACTTTCGAATTTCGTGTGTGATTCAAGATTTGAAGTTTGGTATTCATACGAAAATGAACCCTCACCCGCTCTCAGCCCGTAGTTAATAGTGACTAAAACCGAATTTGATGAAACCCTTTTTTTTTTTTTTTTTTTTGTAATTTGATGAAACCTATATGGTGGGATGAGTTTCAAAAGTGAGATATTGGAGCCGTTAAATCACGTTCTCATTTAGGTGAAGGAAGGAAGTATAGGAAAGGAAGTATGATCGATTTATCAATAGTTCAAACTCAATCAGAAGATGTTTCGAATTATATTTTTAATAATGTTAATGATGCCTAAAGTAACTGAGATCAACCTAAAGTAACTGAGTTCAACTCAGACCGGGAGGTCAGCCATATTAACTGAGGTCAGAAAGCAATGGCTGAAGATCTCTTGAGGCAGGGCAACGGCTGGATAACCACGAGAGGTTTCTAAAGCATTAGGAAGCTATAATCAAGACATTTAATCTCAACTAACCAAGATCTTCTCCTAAAATTAAGGAGAACCCGACAAAATAAGGCTCAGAATCTCGGCCAAGGTCCCACTGAATAAGGAACAGCCCTATAAATACTATGTAACGCCACAAATGAGGGCAGAGGACCCTAATATCACATATTACAGTTTGTAAATCTTTAAGTATAGTAAATAGTGAAAAAAGGAGCAAAAATCTCCATTAAATAGTGGATTAGCCGAGCTCCCGAGCTGGTGAACTACTATATTTTCACTGTATACACCCCTTTAATCCCCTGAATATTTTATCATAGCATCATACATGAGCCTCGAAGCTCTGATTCACGCTCATTTCACGTTACCTGCACCTTAAGCTCATCCACGTTGAAATACGCAATCAGTTTGGCGCCGTCTGTGGGAACGACTGTTCTTGTTACGAATAAAACTGATTTTTCAGTGACTAATGATATCAACGCAAACACATGAGTCGAAGTCAGACCAATCCTCTATGGATGCAAGATCAACAGGAAGCAGCAAATAACAGACGATCTAAAAACGCTAAAGAAGCAAATCTCCCCATGGGGGGGCCTTCTCATGAATAATGAGATGGAGGCCCTTCGTCTTGTCAACGAACGTCTGATAAAACAGAACGAAGAGCTCTTAAAACTTCTACAACGCCCACAGGAGACGCAACCGGCCCAAGGAGGCCAGAATAACCCACCACCAAGAGAGCAACCGTATCTCAACCCCCCTCAAAGAAGTTAATGAGATGGGAGAGAATAGCCAGACCTTGGGGCAAAAACCTCGCCTACCCCCTAGGAATTGTCACAACGAGGAAATGCAAAGTCAGTATAAGGAATGAGAGAGGAGCGACTTCTACCCTTATCAACAGGAGAGAAAAGAACATTATTGAGAGCAACGTTTCAAAAACATCCAGTAAGAGCTCAGTCAGATGAAGGAGGCAGTGAAGAGCAAGGCCCCAGTCACTATGGATGTGTTAGTGCAGCAAATCAAATCCTCATTCACTGCTGGGGTGCTATATTTCCTTCTCCCACATAAATTCAGAATGCCGCAGGTGGATGATTTCGATGGGATAAAAGATCTCGTGGACCACCTCAACACCTACAAAAATCAAATAGAATTGCATGGATATCAAGATCCAGTGAGATGCAAGGGTTTTGCTATCACCCTGAAGGGCTCAGCCTTAGCATGGTTCAATAGACTCCCCCCAGCCTCGATTTTCTCTTTTAAAGAGTTGTCAATCTCATTTGTGTCCCACTTCATCGGAGCTCAGACCTATAGGAAATCGGCTACCATTTGTTAAACGTGAAACAGGGACCTGATGAGAACCTATTGTCTTATGTCCAACGGTTCAATGTAGAATCCTTGAAGGTGGATGTCCCAGACGAAAATTTTGCTATTTCAGCCTTCATAGCAGGTCTGAGAGTTCAGTCAAAAGATCTGATATTTTCCATCTCAAAGTATGGCGGAGGTGCTCGCCAAAGTAAAAAAGTACATAAAATGGTGAGGAAGCGCTCCTCTCTCAGGTCGGGAGCTCTTCGTCGAGAAAGGAGAAAGGGAAAAAAGAAAATAAGAGAGAACGAAGTCCCAGAAAGAAAAAAGAACGAGACATGTCTCCAAAAAGAGAAAGAGAGCGTTCCCTGAAGAGAAGAGAAAATGTCAGGGATCGCCTCGGCCCTCCACAACCAGAACTGCAACTAAGGTATGCACCCCGGCAGCTCACCCCCCTGACTGTTACGGTGTCTCAGATATTGTATGAGGTGCAAAATGATAAGTTCTTAAGGTGGCCACCCCGGATGAAAGCAGACCTGACAAAAAGGGATTCTACGAAATTTTGTGATTTCCACAGAAACCATGGTCATCACACCGACGACTGTATCCAATTGAGGAGGGAAATAAAATTTCTAATCCAATGAGGGCAGCTACGACGCTACATGGCCAATGATAATCAAAATCGAGCTCTCTCACCCCCACCCCCACCCCTTCAGCATCAAGCACCAGAGCTACACCAGCAACCTATGGGGGAGATCAGAGTGATATCTAGAGGATTTGCCAGAGGAGGAGGGTCCAGCTTTACTAGAAAAGCCAACTTGCGAAAAATCAAAGCCACAGAAGCTCCCAAAGTATATACTGTGTCTAAGTCTCCATGCTTAGACACGGCTATCACTTTCTCAGATTCAGATCTGGAGGGCTGCCAACATCCCCATGATGACCCTTTGGTGGTAAGAGCTGTGATGGCCAACAGGACTATCCATCGTGTTTTGATTGGCAATGGCAGCTCGACAGACATCATTTTTGCTTCTTCTTTCAACAAAATGGATATAGGAAGATAAAAACTTAAACTAGTAAGTGCCCACCTATTGGGATTCTCAAGAGAAAGGGTGTTGCCCCTGGGGTCAATCTAACTCATCTTAACCTTAGGTGACCCACCCTATCAGACTACAATAACTGTGAAATTCCTAGTGGTTGAAGCACCTTCAGCATACAATATGCTCTTTGGAAGACCCTCGCTCAATTCTATAAGGGCTATTCTCTCTGCCTATCACCTTGTAGTAAATTTTTCAACAGAAAACAGAGTTGGAATAGTCCAAGGAGACTAGCGCGTAGCACGAAAATGCTACATGACATCCATGAAAAATAAGAAGGTTGAGAGCATCCAATTGGATGAGCTTAACATGAGGGATGAACTCAAGACCAGACCAACACCATCAAAAGAGCTGGAACCTGTTCAAGTTGATGAGGAGCCAGAGCATCTTGTTTACGTTGGATCCAAGCTGAGCAAAGAGGCCAAGGATCTCCTCATCCAATTCTTGAAAAGGAACAAGGACGTTTTTGCATGGAAGCAAGAAGACATGAACAAGATTGATCCCTCTGTCATCACTTACAAGCTCAGCGTGAATCCAGCCTGTAAGCCTATTAAGCAGAAGAGGAGGAGCTTCGCTACGTAGCGTCAGAAAGTCAGCAACAAAGAAGTCAGCAAGCTCCTTCACGCGAAAACCATTCGAGAAGTGGATTACCCAGTCTGGCTAGCCAATGTAGTCCTAGTCAAGAAAATAAACGGCAAATGGCGTCTTTGCATTGACTTTACAGACCTCAACCGTGCTTGCCCGAAAGATAATTTTCCTTTACCCCGGATAGATTTGATTATAGATGTCACTGCGGGACATGAGCTCCTCAGCTTCATGGATGTCTTCTCAGAGTACAATCAGAACAGGATGGATCTCAGTGACCAAGAGAAGACCTCATTCATAACCGAGCAAGGGACGTGCTGCTATCAAGTGATGCCTTTCGGGTTAAAAAATGTAAGAGCCACCTACCAGCGCCTGGTGAATAAGATGTTTCAAAAATAAATTGGGACCTCCATGGAGGTCTATATTGACGACATACTGGTCAAGTCACTGAAGGCAGAGCTCCACATTGGGTACCTAGCAGAGTCATTTCAGGATTGAAAGAATACAAGATGAAGCTCAACCCAGCTAAGTGTGCCTTTGGGGTGTCAGCAGGAAAATTTTTGGGCTCATAGTTAATAGCAGA